GTAAGAAAATGAAAGGAAATAAAAAGTACAAAGGCTAGAAATGAAAAAACAAAAACGGTATTATCTGTAGACGATTATGGCTGCACACAGAATACTCCAAGAAATCCACAGATTAATTGTTAGAATTAAGAAATTAACCAAGGTTGGTAAATACAAAGTCAGTATTTTTTAAATGCCCATTCTTAGTTAGCAACAAAACCTAATTAGAAATATATCTTTTAAGAATAGAGATTGCTTTGATAAAATTTATTCATTTAGGTATTTCATTTGATATCTCTCTTTTTAAACATATTGATGTGAATAAATTTAATTCGACTGTAAACCATGATTTCAGATACTAATTTTCTTTTATTCTCTCTTTCTCTGTCTTTCTTTTTTTGGCCAAATATATGTGGAAAGCCTGCTATGTGCCAACAATTGCATTAGACCTTTAGGATAGTTATAAAGATGATCAAGATATGGTTCATTGTCTTCAAGTGGTTCAAGTTGGGGGAGAAGATAGAACTATAAAGAATAAAAAGTAGCGAAACAATGGCGTTTTAAAACAGAGAGGAAATTAGAAAGGGAGGAAGGGAAGAAAAGAGAAAGAAAGGCAGAAGGGAAAGAAGGAGGAAAGGAAGGATGAAAGGAAAGAAGTAGAGAGAAAGGGAGGGAGAACAGTAACTTTAAAAATTGGTAAGGGAAGGAGAGAAGATGAGAAACTCTAAAACCTGCAGATATTATTTCATGCTGTATGTTGCCTCCTCTGATGACAGAAAGAGAATGTGAAGAAAGAAAATTATATCCCGTATGGCTGAAAATGGTCCCCTACAAAAATATCATGTTGGACAACTCATCTGAAATAGTGGTATCTCTGGGAAGCAGTTTAGCACTGGAGAGTTTGGACTTTCATGGCAGGCTGCCTTGGTTCATATCTTTTGGTGATGATACTGATCTTCTGTAAGGCCCATTTCTTTATTTGTGAAATGAAGACAATAGAGTGCTTATATATAATTTAGAACAATGTCCATCACATAGTAAACAATAAATGGTAGCTGTTATTGTTGTTATTATTACTATTATTACCTTGAAGACAGGGGCTCTGTCTTGTTCATCATTCCGTCTCCAGCTCTTAGCACAATCCCTGGCACAATTCAAACATGTATTTGGATGAATGACAAATATCTATTGAGTATTTGCCCTGTTCCAAGCATTGTTAGAGGTACATGGGACAGGACAGTGAACAAAACAGACAAAACCTCCTACTGTCTTAGAATTCACTCTCTACTGGGGAGACCTAGGCAATGAGGAAATAATTAAAATATACAGTGTGTCTTATGGCAATAAATGACAAAGAAAAATAAAGCAGAGAAGGTGAGAAGCAGTGACAGTGTTTTGTGATCATTTGCTTTGCAACAAGCCACTCCCCAGATTTACTGGCCTAAAATAATTTCATCATAGTTCATGCTCTGGCTACAACAATACACATCTCTCTCATGTGCAAAATACACTCACTCCTCCCTCAAAGCCTCGTGCCATTAAGGGTTCAGGTTCAAAGCTTCAGATCTTATCCTCTGAAGTACATTTAGGGACAAACAAAGCTTCTCAGGTATTTCTGGGGATGCAGAGACTTGTGAACTAAAAGACGAGTTATCTATCTTCCAACACAACTGACATGCAACGGGGATTCAGGAAAAGGTAATTTCAATAGGCGCTTCTGTGCAAAAGCGGGGAAAATGAGTCATGCAGCAGTCACAGTTCATATTAATCTAAAATCTAGCCAGGCATATATCCCAAGTCTTCCTGATGTGGGGACAAGAATTACTTCTGGATTAGGGCTCACTTTTTCTCTTTGAGAATGGTTCTCCTCAGCTCTTGGATTTGTCCTCTGAATCATCCTTCCTTGTCCACATACATATACACATATACACATACATACGTAGAGAGACTGTCACGTAGGCTGGAGTACAACGGTGAGATCTCAGCCCACTGCAACCTACACCTCCTGGATTCAAGCAATTCTCCTGTCTCAGCCTCCCCGGTAGCTGAGACTACAGGTGCACGCCACCATGTCTGGCTACTTTTTGTATTTTTAGTAGAGATGGGGTTTCACCATATTGGTCAGGCTGGTCTCGAACTCCTGACCTCAGGTGATCCACCCACCTTGATCTCCCCAAGTGCTGGGATTACAGGCATGAACCACCGTGCCTGGCCCATAAAATATTTTTTGTGAAAACATCTCAGCCTGCTCCATGCCTATAGAAAGTTTGACTCCCAGATGTGTCTCTTTTCATTTTGAACTATCTCTGCCCTTCTTAAATCAAGCTGATATAATTCCTTTAAATGCTTTCTAACTTTTTAACATATTAAATTAGGGGGAAAAATGCCTACATTTATCTTTGAATGCTACTTTGGGCTGCAAACCAAAGGGATACAGGACAGCACCCTTAAGATTCTTAGAAGCTCTTTTGCTTGGTCAGAGGGTCTGAGGTCTTAAAGTGTTTTACAGCCATGCCCTTGGTTTGATCTTGACCCTAAGGTCACATTTTACTGCCAGTGCCCTGAATTTGACCTTTTCCCCAGGTTTTAATATTTTAAATTTATCTTCAGAATGTCTTGCTGTCTGGAAAGACTATTCTGGGCCGTGTCTACTTTCTCTAAATCTTGCTTAAAAATGGAATACAGTAGTCCCCCCTTATTCATGAGGGATACGTTCCAAGACCCCAGTAGATGCCCAAGCCCGATTGCCATTAATCAAGACACATTTCTGTTTATGTCTTTTACCCACCAATTTAATGCCTTTTCCATCTTAACTAAGCACCTATCACACACTGTAGCCATACTTTCACAGTTTGAGATGTGACAGCAAAACTAGCACAAATCTCTTTTTCCTTCTTCACCATTTTTGGATAGAGGATGCATCCTTACCATAGACCTTAGCAACCTTGGCATATGAATTTTTTCCTTCCTTATTACACTGAGAATTTTCACCTTCTCACTTAAAGAAAGCGCTTTACAGCTTCTCTTTGGCATATCCAAATTGCCAGCATCACTACTCCTGCCCTTTGGGGCCACTGTTAAGTAAAATAAGGGTGACTTGGACACAAGCACTGCATTACCCAACAGACAGTTCATCTGATAATGGAGAGGGCTGCTAAGTGACTAATGAGTGGTCATCGTAGATAGCACGGATCTACTGGAAAAAGGGATGGTTCATGTCCCAGGCAGGATGAGATTTCATCATGCTACTCAGAACGGCAGTCAATTTAAAACTTATGAATTGTTTATTCCTGGAATTTTCTGTTTAATATTTTTGGACTGCTGTTGACTGCTGGTAACTGAAACTGCAGAAAAGGAAACAGGGGACAGAGGCGACTACTGTAGTTTCTTCTTTAGGTTATCGCTTTCTTCCTGTACTTTATCTTGGGTAACTAAAAGATATACACTTCGCCACTTTCAATATCCTTCCTGGGTATCTCCTTAGCTAGACACCAAGTCCACTGGTTACATTTTGCTACAGTCCACATTACTCCTGGAGACCATGTTGCCAAACTTTACAGCACGTATAATGTCTGTTCCCTTTCTCAAACTTCCAGGAACAATTTTTTCACTGCCTTTTGTCTCAACACCCTTCAAGTCTCCAAAATTTTTATTATAGTAGTACTCCACTTTTAAGTGTGTGATTTCTCTATTGCTATGTTACAAGCCACTCCATGGCTTAGTGGCTTAAAACAGTAATAATTTATTCAGTCTCATAATTTGTAGTTTGGGTGATTGTTATAACTACTGTCAGCTGGAAGCTGGGATAGCTAGAAGGTCTGTCATGGTCTCACCCACACAGTAGGCATTTGGTACTGGCTGCCAGCTAAGAGCCCAGCGGAGGCTTAGGGAGAGGTCCTCAGCTCTCCTCTGCTTGGGCCTCTCCATGTGGCAGCCTCAGCTTCCTCAGAGCATTGGGCTAAGTTCCAAGAAGGGAAGGTAAAATTTATAGATCCCTTAACGGCCAGATTTCTGCCACATTTCATTGGTTAAAACAGGTCACAGGGCCAGTTGTGTTCTTGATGAGGGGAAATAAACTCTAGATTCCACTTCTTGATGGAAAAATGACCAGGTCATCATTGCAAATAAGCGTGAAGAATGGAATATATTGGTGTGGTCTTTTTGGAAATACAATCTACCACAGCCAGAGCATATGTCTATGTATGTAATTTAAAATAAGATGGTCAGGGGAGGCCTTCAGAGACAGTGATATTTGAGCAAAGACCTGAAGAAGAAGAGAGGAAGCCTTGCAGATATTTGGGATGAAAGCATTACACACTGAAAGAATTGTAAATACAAAAACTCTGATGTGGTAATGAGCCTGGTCTACTCAAGGGATGATAAGGAAGCCACTGTGACTGAAGTAGAGGGCTGAGAAGGAAGGAACAAGAAGTTAGAGGTGAGGTCAAAGAAGTCATGGAAGCCAGATCATGTAGGGCTTAGAGGCGCCTGGAAAAAGAAATGTTTGATTAAAAGGATAAACAATTGTGCTTCCAACAGGTGTCCATAGAATAGGCCCTTCCTATGTGGTAGTAACAAAATAAGTAAACCCTTGAGAAAGGATCTCCTCACTCCCCACCTCCAAATTCCTTCTTGATAATTCCATAACTAGTTCCTGTCCATGGGTAACTCCATTGCACTTCTTGAAGTATAGCTTTCACAGGGAGGTGGCACAGCCTGTTACAAAAGTTTGCCTCTACTCCACAAGCCTTGCTCTATGTGAATGAATTATCACATACGTATGAATCTAATAGCCATTTTAGATACTGTCCAACTTCCCACCTTATCAACTTCTGAAAACTTCATCTTTTTTTCTCAGTTTTATAGATGATGTCATTATTGATTTTAAATTATAAAATGGAATGTTTCCAGGGGAGGTTACAGTTCCTGCTGCAATATATCCATCTTAGAGCATGAACGACTTGTAATTGTTAAGTGCCTTTTCACAGCTAATCATGTGGCATTTGGTTGCTGCTTTTCAGGAAAACTTTTAAAAGCAGAGTATATTCTGAGCAGTCTAATAAGCAACAATGGAGCAACGGGTGAGTACTTTCATATCTTCACAATGACCTTTACCTCAGCCCCAAACAGAGCACTCATTTAATAACAACTTAGTGACTTAATAGTTACCATACATTAGATGTTTTCAGAGCTATCTGGGACTGGCTCTGCCACTGATGAATGAAGAAGCTTTGATCAAGCAGCTTACATCTCTGTGTGTCTGTTTTCTCTAAGTTAACAACAACAACAACAAAAAACAAAGACAAGGAATCTACTATTGGCCTGCTTCCTTACAGAGTATGTTATCTAATGGACGGTCACGGTCAAGGCAGGTAACTCTGTGGGCCTTATAAAGGTTCGATAGCAGCTTTTAAACAAAATTGTGATTGGAAATAAAAGCCTGTAAGTTCAGAAGAGTCTGCTTTGGCTTTATCGATTTAAATGGTTCAGAAAATAGATTTGATTTTTGGTACATAAGAACTTTAATAAAACTTGTTTCCAAATGGATTTTCTTTCAATATTTAATTATACATGAAAGGAAGCAAGTCCTAATAATTGGGTAACAAATAACTTAAGCCTTCGGATATCATGTCTGAATTTCTGGGCATTTAAGTTAGCAAGTTTATCAATAAGTTGAGAAGTTTCCACTGGACTTTTAAACTCAGCATGCTTGGATGTGAGGCCTCAAACTCCTTGACACTTGTGGACATTTCTAATGGGGAGATAGTTTGGAATCCAAATATTAACCACGCACCCCTCACTTGTGGCCACCATCACTAAACTACAATATACACTCTTGCCATCATGTGCACACACCACACACACACACACACACACACACACACGGATTCAAAGCTAGGAAGAAAATAAATATTATCTGATGTGACAGAGAATAGTGAGGGGGCAGTAAAGAGTCTGCCTCTATTTTTGATGTTTGACCACTGACAGTTTTCAAGCCACAGCCTTTTTTACTTTTGTCTCACACTGGACAGGCTGATTAAAACAAACAAACAACAAAAAGCCCTTTCATCCACACACCCAAACCCAGCTTCCAGGAACCTTTACCCAGCCCCACACCCCAGTCACAGTGACAAGCAAAGCCACTCACCACTCCCTGCCTGAGTCAAAGGAGCAGCTTGGGTGCCAGCCTGACTTACCCTAGAAAGCCTCATTATGTGAGCAATAAATCTTCTCATACCCTCTTGGTACACGTGTGGAGTCATCAGTTTTGACATCCAAACAAATTTTCCTCAGATGGGATCCACCTCACCCTCTGCAAAGCAACCATAGGACAGTGGGGGTAACGGTGTAGAAAAATTAATCTGTGGAGGCCTTTGAGGAAAAGCACTGAAGCTGAGACCTGAAGAAGGATCTGGCCTCTTAAGAAGCCAGAGGAAAGAGGATCCCAAGCAGGGCTAGTGGTAAGTGCAGCTGCCATGAAGCAAGAGGCCAGTCCTATTACAAGGAGGCAAAATAAAGCTAGAGTGGACAGAGAGTAAGTGAGGGAACTGGAGACCAGACAGGAGTCAGTTCCTGCAGAGCCTGAGGCTACAGCAAGAAGTTTGGACCTGATTCTAAATGTAGAGACGAGATTCTCTCTCAAAATGATGTCACATGTGCTCATGAAGACTTCTGTGAAAATTCTTTTAATTTACAAGGCAATATCTCTGATAATTCAAGGGAAGTTTTCCTCTTTTCTTTTAGGTACCTGGCTGTACAGAAATGAAAGTGACAAGGTCCTGGTGCAGTCGGTCTGTATACAGATCAGAGGGCAGATTCTGCAAAAGCTAGGTACCATAATCTAACACTTGCGTTTCTCAAGGCTCATTTACAAAGCCTGGCTGCATGGTTTCACGGTGGAATTTTCTTCTTTTATCTGGCTAAAATTGTTAATTTCCACTTGCCTTAGTTTCCTTATCGAAAAGAGAATGGCATTTAAGATCCTAGGAGTGTCACAAATATTAATAAATTTTTTTTCTAGTAAGCTTTGTTAGAGAGGTTCACAGTTGTATATTGTGATGTTAACTGTAGGGTTCCCAGTGTTACTTCTCACACCTGACTCAGTTCAGCAGGACTCCGTGTAATACGGTGACACCTTATACTATACCCACCGTGACACTGTATTCGTTCATTCCTTAAGGTATTCATGAATTTTTCAAGTTTATAGAATGCTAATATACTTTAGAATGCAAAATAAGGGTTTGAGAAATTTTAACAGGAGGTGGCAATTATTATTTTTGTAAAAATACTGAGAAAACTACATATATTATACATATTATATATACAAATATATAATAATTCTATTTCCCAGTGAAATGGAAAAATTGTCTCTATTACAGTTGGAAAAACATTACTGTGTCAATCTAATCTAAGCCTGAGTTTTCCTAACAGGATCTAATGAGTCTTGTTTCTGTATTAGTTTTCAAAGGTATTGTCTCATACAAGAACACAGATACCAGCTGTTCCTCCCCTGTCCCTCTCCCTGCCCCTCTTTTTTTTTCAGGGATGTGGTATGAAGCAGCAGAGTTAATATGGGCCTCCATCGTAGGATATTTGTCACTTCCTCAGCCGGATAAAAAGGTGGTTTGTCTAGTGCTTATTTTTCTCCTTTCCTGTATTTGTCTTTAGATGATTATCTCTTTATGATACAATTCCATTTCTCATGTATCAATTTCATCTCTCCTATTTTTATTTATTTTTCATGAGCATAGGACCAGGTACAGTTAGTAACTTCCTTCTGTGTCTTACTTCATACTCACTCACAGCTAAACTCTTGGGGCATAGACGGTGTTTTTATAATCATTTGTAACTGTCCATTTATATATTTATCTCTACTGGTCCATTCATTTATCTGTTTTATTATATATTTAGCCTTTACTTGATTGCATAGCAAAGTTGAGATGGCCAAGTTGCTTATATGTAAAATCATTTTTCTTGAGTTGAGTGGGCGAAGACTTCAATTGTTTATGTAGCATCAAGTAGTATATGTCAATCCTACTTGACATTTTCATTTTCTGGAATTCTGTGGGAATAGTCTGATTATCTGAAGCATCCGGTTATTACATTTCCCTGAGCTGTGTAAGCAATTGCTGTCTACGATTCTTTTACAATACAGACTGTGATGTGAACTCTTCCTTGGGCCAGTTATTCAGGCCTAGCAGTAGGGACAAGTTAGTACTGATCACCCAGTGAAACCCAACTGAGAAGTAGCTGTGTTTACATTAGGCCCACATGCCCTAGGATGTGTTGATCTTTCAAGCTCTGTGGCAGCCAATTTAAAAGTATCTCCAAGTCAGGGTATTATTACACAATGTATGCATATGTCAAAATGTCACACTGTATCCCATAAACATGTACAATTATTATATGTTGACTTTTAAAAATAGTATCTCCAGTGTCAGTAATAAAATAATAATAGGCAAATCATTCATATGGAGGGATAACCATTGCCTTTAGGCCATGAAATGAGAGCAGTAATCCACTGTGAATTCCCAATCTGTGACTTGTATGTGTTTTTCTTACAGGGCCTCTCCACGTCATTAGGTATACTGGCAGACATCTTTGTTTCCATGAGCAAGAATGATTATGAAAAGTTTAAAAACAATCCACAAATTAATTTGGTAATTATCATGACACTGAGTGGCATCATCTGTAAAACTGTCAATGGTGTAGTTGGTGGGTGATTAGTGGGTGTCTTTCTCAGGAGATTGGGAGGCAGGGAGCTCAGTGCTGCCCCTGCTACACAGATGGGAGGAATCCTGGGGAGGAGTCCTGGGGGGTCGTGTTTGGCTTTATTATCCCAGCACTCAGCACTGTACCAGACACTCAGAGGGTGCTCAGAAAGTTACTGCTGAATGAATGAATGAATCAATGAATGAATGAATATCAACAAAATTATTTTGAGCCTCACTTCTTTCCGAGTATCATAAAATTCAGTTTCCAAACTTGGGCCATCTTGATGCTAAAGGGGTAATAATTTTTAAACTTTATCATCATCATCTGTTTAAATCAGAGCATCAGTCCCTTGTTCCAGGCTCTCGTCCTTGATGATAATGACTGCTAATTTTTATATATCACTTTACAACTCAAAAAAGTGTATATATCGCTACATAAAACCCTCTGAGGAGGGTACAGCAAATTATGTCACTCCATTTTAGAGGAAAATAAAATGCAGTGCAGAGAAACTAACTAACCTCTGCAGTTTACACAACCAGTAAGAGAGAGAACTGGGAGCTGAGTGCAGGTCTCTGACCAGCCCAGAGAAGTGGTAAGGATGTTCTGCTGCTCTTCACACTGTGCTGAAATGGAGTGTTTATTATCATCTATATTGCCATTTTTATTAAAGACCCCAATCACAATGGTAACCATGCTCAGTACTAGTTAGTGTAGCAAAAGAACACATACAGCTTGCTGATGGTAATCTGAATCTAAGATGTTGCTTTTTCTGTTTGACCAAAACAGGAGGATCATGTCCCTTGTTCACTGAAGTTATCCTTGATGACTGTTTAAAATTGCACACTTCCCTCCCATCCTGGACCTCCCTAACCCCTTCTCCATTTATTTTCTCTCCAGAACATTTGTCATCATCTCAAATACTATACACTTGTTTTGTATATTGACTGATCCCTCCCCCACAACAGAAAGTAAGCTCCTTGCAGGCTCACTGCCTGCTGTCTCCTGTGTCTAGAACAGGCCCTGGCATGGGGAGGTACTCTGTACATATTTATAGAATTAATAAATGAATCCTAATTGCTGTGAAATCATCAATTAAAGGACTCTTGGCCAAGAGCAGTGCAGAAATCAATTAATCTGGCTGCAAAATTTGCAGGTTCCTTTGAACAAAGAACTGCCACCATCTTCCAGAGAAGCTCACCCAAATTATTGCACAGGTGTGTGGCTGCTGGGAAAAAGCAAAGTCAATACCTTGTGGTCTTTAGACCCACTTACTCTTTATTGACACTGTTCTGAATGGGTTGTGGTGAGGAGTCCCTTGAAATCATGAAAGAAAAGCAAAACTATTTCATAGCCTGTTTTTTGCTCATTGATAATTAATTATCACCATTCCACTTAGCCTCCTGTTTTCTCACAGAGCCTGCTGAAGGAGTTTGACCACCATGTGCTGTCCGCCGCAGAAGCCTGCAAGCTGGCAGCTGCCTTCAGTGCCTACACGCCACTCTTCGTGCTCACAGCTGTGGTAAACAGAGTGCGGCCCTTCCTCAAACCCCCACAGGACCTCTCCCCAGGGTGCTTTCCGATGTAATCAGTGAGAAGGGAAAGGTTTAACCTTCAAATAGGCTTTGTGTCTCATCAGTGGCAATTGTGATAAGACTCCACACCACATGTGGAAAAATTTTATCTGTCGGAGTTTTGACAGCCTACTAGGAGCTAAATTAATTCAGCCCAAGGATAGAATGTTGCCTGTTGTGAAGCAATGGTTCCCAAGCCTGAGTGCACATCAAAATCACCTGAGGAACCTTCTCAAAATATGTATTCCAGCCAGGCATGGTGGCTCACACCTGTAATCCCAACACTTTGGGAGGCCAAGGTAGGAGAATGACTTGAGCCCAAAATTTCAAGACTAGCCTGAGCAACATGGTGAGATTTTGTCTCTACAAAAAATTAAAAAATAAAAATTGCCCAGGTGTGGTGGTTCACGCCTGTAGTCCCAGGTACCAGGGAGGCTGAGGTGGGAGGATCATGTGAGCCTGGCAGGTTGAGTTTGCAGTGAGCTGAGATTGCACCACTGCACTCCAACCTGGGTAACAGAGCAAGACCCTATCTCAAAAAAAAAAGGAAAAAAGGAAAGAAAGAAAGAAAAAATAAGAAACAAAGAAAGGCTACACATTTCTGAGCTCTGCCCTAGATCCACTAAATGCAAATCTCTGGGGTTGGTATCCAAAAATCTTTAATTTTAGAATATTGCCCAGGTGATTCAAATGCACAGATGCATTTGGATACCAATGCCCTATTGTTTCGACTATTAAATGAATGATGTATTCATATATAGCATCCTTATTTGCATAGAGAAACTTATATCCATTTCCATGGATGGACTCTGTTAAAACTAACAACAGCAACAAACACAAGTCTATCGTCTTTAATCAAAATGTATCAGATATACAATAGGATGGTAATTGAAGCTAATTTCTTACCCCTTCATGTCAGCCAATCGCTTACATCCCCATCCCTTCTTCTGATTCACCAAAAAGACCTCGGGTCCTTAACTCAATGTTTGCTGTACGTTTTCCTTAGAATGTTTGTGGCATGTGTTCATTTTTCTATAATATTTCAAACGACTGTCTTCCAGAAATGAAAAGTTTGTCCTGATTCACTTCCAGTTTTTAATTCAATATCTGATTTGGTGTTCGGTATTTTTCCCAGAATATCCGTGGCACGTGCTTATTGTCATATAGTAGTTCAAATGACTGTCCTCCAGAAATGAAAAACTTTTATCTGTGTGAAGCCAAAGAGGCCTTTGAGATTGGCCTTCTCACCAAGAGAGATGATGAGCCTGTTACTGGAAAACAGGAGCTTCACAGCTTTGTCAAAGCTGCTTTTGGTCTCACCACAGTGCACAGAAGGCTCCATGGGGAGACAGGGACAGTCCATGCAGCAATTCAGCTCTGTAAGGAAGCGATGGGGAAGCTGTACAATTTCAGCACTTCCTCCAGAAGTCAGGACAGAGAAGGCCTGTCTCAAGAAATTATGTCTGTGATTGCCCAGGTGAAGGAACATTTACAAGTTCAAAGCTTCTCAAATTTAGATGACAGATCTTATGTTCCAGAGAGTTTCAAGTGCAGGTTGGATAAACTTATCTTGCATGGGCAAGTGGATTTCCAAAAAATCCTTGACACCTATTCACAGCACCATACTTCGGTGTGTGAAGTATTTGAAAGTGATTGTGGAAACAACAAAAATGAACAGAAAGGTGCAAAAACAGGAGTCTGTATCACTGCTCTAAAAACAGAAACAAAAAACATAGATACTGTGAGTACTACTCAAGAAAAGCCACATTGTCAAAGAGACACAGGAATATCTTCCTCTCTAATGGCTAAGAATGTTCAGAGGGAACTCAGAAGGGGAGGAAGGAGAAACTGGACCCATTCTGACGTATTTCGAGTCTCCTTGGATCAAGATGTAGAGACTGAGACTGAGCCATCGGACTACAGCAATGGTGGGGGAGCTGTTTTCAACAAGTCTCTGAGTGGCAGCCAGAGCTCCAGTGCTTGGAGCAACTTATCAGGGTTTAGTTCCTCTGCAAGCTGGGAGGAAGTGAATTATCATGTTGATGACAGGTCAGCCAGAAAAGAGCCTGGCAAAGAACATCTGGTGGACACTCAGTGTTCCACTGCCTTGTCTGAGGAGCTAGAGAATGACAGGGAAGGCAGAGCCGTGCATTCATTGTGTTCAGAGCTTCAGGATCTCTCTCTTCAGGAACCCAAAGATGACAATGCAGAGCCTTCTCAAAATCAGCCGCATGAACAGTTGCCCTTGACACCCTTCCCTCCTCATAATATCCCAGGTACTTTCTTGGCCCCTGGTGCAGGGCTTCTAGAAGGAGCTCCAGAAGGTATCCAGGAAGTCAGAAATATGGCACCCAGAAATACTTCTGCTCACTCCAGACCCTCATATGGTTCTGCTTCTTGGTCTTCTGATTCTGGTAGGCCCAAGAATATGGGCACACATCCTTCAGTCCAAGATAAAGAAGCCTTTGAAATAATTGATGAGTTTCCAGAAACCAACTGTGATGCGAAAGACAGGCAGGAGAAAGAGCAGGGAGAAGAAATCGGTACAAGAGGCACAGGCCCTACATTTAAAGCTAGTCCCTCCTGGGTTGACCCAGAAGGAGAAACAGCAGAAAGCACTGAAGATGTACCCTTAGACTTTCACAGGGTCATGCACAATTCTCTGGGAAACATTTCCATGCTGCCATATAGCTCCTTCACCCCTAATCGGCCTGTTCAAAATTCTGACTCCAGAAAAAGTGGTGGTTCAGTCGCAGAGCAGGGCATCGACCCTGATGCCTCCACGGTGGATGAGGAGGGGCAACTGCTCGACAGCACGGATGTCCCCTGTACAAATGGGCTTGGCTCTCACAGACTGTGCACTCTGAGAGAGCTGCCTGGTCAGAGGGCTAAGACCCCCAATTCCTCTGTAAGCAGTAACATCCTCTTCCCTGTCCTCAGCGAGGACTGCACTACCACAGAGGAAGGAAATGAGCCTGGAAACGTGCCAAATTACAGCCAGAACTCCAGTTCATCCTCAGCGTGGTGGCTGAAATCACCTGTGTTTTCCAGCGGTTCTTCTGAGGGGGACAGTCCTTGGTCCTATCTGAATTCCAGTGGGAGTTCTTGGGTTTCATTGCCGGGAAAGACAAGGCAAGAGATCCTTGAGGCTCGCACCTTGCAACCTGATGACTTTGAAAAGCTCTTGGCAGGAGTGAGGCATGATTGGCTGTTTCAGAGACTAGAGAATACGGGGATTTTTAAGCCCAGCCAACTCCACCGAGCACATAGTAAGTACAAACTTTTCAGTAGGTTCCCCCTCAGGAAGCAGCTATGTTTGGGTGCTCTGAAGAGCTTGGTATGTAGATCACTTGAAGCTCATGAAAGGAATAGACCCCTGGTATGCTTTGTGAGTTCACAGAGAAATGTATGCTTCAGGGGTCTCCCTCACTCTCTGTGATGGACCTTAATGGTTGTAAAGAGGCTTGCTCAGGCTACCTTGCATACTGGAGGTTTGCTCTAAGGACACACAAGGCAGTGAGGGAGACAGGAAACTCAGAGGACTGCGGCACAACCATCACTAAGGGTTGAAAACAGCTCTGGAGGCCGTCTCATCCACTCAGCATCTATCTTCTTCACTGATTCTCATTACCAATCAGCTGATTTTAACAGGCTGGATGCCATATTATCTGCTCAGCATCTATCTTCTCCTTTGACTCTTTTTACCAACCAACTGATTTTTCTCTATCTATCCCCATTAGAATTCTATGGGGACATGGTTTGACCTAGTTAAATATCATCTTTCTATTGGGCAGGGACTTTTTACACCTGTCTACCTAAGCGGTTTCTTGCCAGCCAATTGGTTGGTCAAGTGCGTCCTTGTCTCGCATTCATGATGCTACAACAAAATGCCATCAACTGGGTAGCATATGAACAACAGAAATTTATTCCTCATAATTCTGGAGCCTGGAAGTCCAGGATGAAGGTACTGCCTTCTGGTTCATTGACAGCGCTTTTTCTCTGTGTCCTCACATAGTGGAAGGGGGAAGGGTTTCTCTGAGGTCTCTATTATGAGGGCACTCATCCCATCTATGAGGAATCTACCCCTCAGTACCTAATCACCTCCCAAAGGCTCCAACACCCGACACCATCACCTTGTGCGTTAGAACTTCAACATGTGAATTTAGGGGGGATAAAAACTTCCAGACTACAGTACCCTACTGTTGCAATCAGCAGCTACTTCTTGCTTAAGGAACAGCCCAATGTCACTGCCCAATGCAGGAAGCCTGGGCTGGAGCCACCTAGTAGTCAATGTCTAACACAGCTTAAAAGTGGTAGACAAGCTGGGAGGAAGACAGAAGGAGATTCTTCTCTTAGCCCAGGAATCACATCAAAATGCCCTCCTACTATACAGAAAAATGATTTGAATGATTAAAAAAAGATTGTGAAGCACATCATAGAAGAAACAAACTACATGGATTGCTAAGCACTGGTTACTAAATAGTAGTTCTCAACCCTGGCGCCACATGAGAACCTTCTGGGGAGCTTTTAAAAACTTCCAATGCGTCACCCCAGAGATTTCCATCTAATGGGTCTGGAGTGTGGACCCAGGATCATTATTTCTTATGAGCTCTCCGGTGATTCTGCTTAAAGCCACTGTTGAGAGCTTCTGCTTCAAAGTATTCTAATGTTTTGCCTGCCACCTTGAAGTCCGACTAAAATACACATCACATTGTCACCAAAAAAAAAGCAAAAATTTCCAGCAATAGGGTTTTCTTACTTACTGTGAGATTCTGCAATTTTGGAATCACATTTCTTACAATGAGGTAACTGCTTTCTTGTTATTTGTCATTGTTTGCTAATTTGTGGATGAAATACATTCGAGGAAGCAAGGCCCAAAATGGCAGAAACAAAACAATGATTCCCTTCCTCTTTTCTTCTCTCAATTCATCATCCGTCCTCTGTGTGGACAGACAACTCACCTTCCATTTCCATCTACCTTCTCTAACTGAGTCACCCAACCCTAGTCACCATCTCACCCAGTCTGTAGGCAACCCCTTCCCAGAACTGTCAGTTTATCTTGCTTTAAGTATTTTTCTCTCCCACATGTCCCATTCATTTATCTATTTTCACAATCTAGACACAGGTCTTTTGTTTACTTCATTTTAATTCCAACCAAAGTGTTGTACTCCTTCCTCAGGATTCATGTGGGTCTTTCTCCTCAAAGAGATGCTTTCTTACTTAGCACTGTTCTTCCTTTCTTTAAGGTGGAGACTGCCCCTACTTTTTCCTCTATCTTTTCCTTTTTTCAGTTGAGTTCGCATGTTTTTAGAGTAGCTACATTTTCTCAAATAATTTCCAAACTTTCTCAACCTAAAACAATGAAAAGAAAATTAGGGTGCACTTGAATATATAATGCTAGGATTCCCAGAGCTGCCGGGAGCCTATTAGGTAAAATTATCTACTTTATTTCTATTCATGTGATCTGCCATCAGTAGTAGCTTCTATTATTTGGGATCCCCAGGTAATAATAGTAAGTTGCAAACATGTGTCACTTGTCCTAAAATGGTCTCTGAGACTTTCTGATTTTAAAATTTCTTTATTTTCCACTACTTTCATATAGAATCTTCAGGCTTATCTTCATCCCTTTTCATCACAAACAAGGGATTTTGTGACTCAAAGGCTATTCTTCATTGTAATTTATAAAGTGTTACCTTTTTATTATTTCTCACTAACTTTTTAATACTGTAGTTGTCATAGAAGAGATGAAAATTAGAGAAAAATGTATAAAACAGTGAAGATTTCAGGTGAGCTGGTGTAAGACCTGTGTCGCATCAGCTTTATTCATGAATTGTAACGTCCTTTTGAAAATAAGATTCATTTTCATCTTTTTTTTTCTAGCTGCTCTTTTGTTAAAATATTCAAAAAAATCTGAATTGTGGACAGCCCAGGAAACTGCTGTCTATTTGGGGGACTACTTGACTGTGAAGAAAAAAGGCAGACAAAGAAATGCTTTTTGGGTTCATCATCTTCATCAAGAAGAAATTCTGGGCAGGTATTACTTAAAAACATTTGTATACTAATGTAAGATGAGCTAACCTTGCCCTTCTGTTAAGTAATCACTCATGAGACTTTGTAGGGGCTGAAAAACTTAGCCAAAATATATTTTCAGATTTCTACACGTCTTTCTTTTCATTATTAATTAATTAACAACAGTTACCATATATTGAGGACCCACGTTATATCAGCTGTTTTGCTGGATGTTTTAGCTACAGGACCTCAAATCCATCAGGGAAACATTATTGGCCATATTGTACTGATAAGAAAAATAAAGTTCCTGGTCACATGGCAGGCCAGAGAGCCTTCAATACTCACTAAAAATGCTGGCAAAAAGGGTAAATTATGAAAAGCACACTTTTAAGTAAACAGGTGAGCCTGAAAAAAGGCAGGAAAATCCTGAGGCCAGAGATGAAGCCTGTTCAGGGATCTAAGTGATTGCTGAACCCTTTATGGATCCCGCACAGGAGTTTGGGGCAGGGGTGGAGTGAGGGTGCAGCCAGTGACAAAAGCTATACACAGAAGGGAATGAGTTCAGATACCACTCATACACAGCAGGGAATCAGGAATGGCTACATCCCCAGGATAAATGGTATATTTATTAACCCTGCCCCAGTGAAGTAAATGCCTGGAAAGTTTTTGATTTGGCCTTAGTTCTTAATAAAATTTTTAAACAAAAACTCACCTGAAAAATTAGTAGCCACAGGTGGTCTTCACTGGGTTTAGGACATAATTTTATATCATTTGTATATTTTAAAAGACCTATAAGCCATGACTTTTCATTTAAAGTTGGCCTTATTATTTGCTCAAATCCAAATAGTGTAAGAAATAAATAGAAATAGAGAAATCAAGTGACTCTGTAAGCAGTGGAAGTACATTTCTTGAAAAGATTATTGATTATTATCATTATTATGGTAAACATGTGCCGGGCCCTGTTTTAAGTGATTTATATGCTAATTCAATTAATCTTTACAAAACCCTCTGAAGGTAGATACTGTTATTATTCTTACTTTACAGATGAGGGAACTGAGTCACAGAGATGTTAAGGAATTGCCCAAAATCACATGCCTAAGCAGTAGGGGCAGATGCTGAGGCTTAAATTGTGTCTCCCAAAACTCAATATTGAAGTTCTGAGTACTTCAGACTGCGATCTTATTTGGAAATAGAGGGATTGCAGATGTAATTGGTGAAGTGAAGATGAAGTCATACTGGAGTAGGGTGGGCCCCTGATCCAATATGACTGATATCCTTATAAAAAGAGGAAATTTGGAGATAGACACAGACACAGAGAGAATGCCATGTGAAGACTGTAGTTATGTTGCCTCATAGTAAAGAACTGCCAGAAGCTGATTCTTCCTTAAGGAAGAAACAGATTCTTCCTTAGAGCCTTCAGCAAGATGATGGCCCCGCTGGAACTTTGATCTTAGACCACTATAGGCTTCAGAACAGTGAGAAAATCAATTTCTGTTATTTAAGCCACCCAGTTGGTGGCATGTTGTGACAGCAGCCCTGATACACCAGAGTACACCATAGGAGGACCTGAGATAAATAAGTTGAGGATAAGAGACGTAAAGAATGGAGTCAGAGAGTTCAATGTATTTCTGGTCAGAAGAAAATAACAGAAAGAGAGCAAAAGCAATATTTGAACAGATACTTTCTGGTAATTTTTCAGAATTGCCAAAATACACTAATCTTGAAATACAGAAATCACAATGAATCATAAGGACGGAAGGGAAAGGAGGAAAGAAGCTGGAAGGAAGCAGGAAGGGAAGAAGGCGGGCAGTCAGACATCCACTTCTAGGTACACAGTAGTCAAACTCCAAGCACTAAGGACAAAGAAACCATTTTAAAATCAGTCAAAGAAAAAAGACGTATTACCTACACAGAAATATTAATTTGACCTACAGCTGGTTTCTTCGTAGCAACAATGGAAGTCAGAGACAATGGAAGTCATATACTTAGAGCAACTCTCTTTTATGGAGGAAGGCAAAATAAAGACATTTGCAGCTTAAAAGAAAAAATGACCATGGCAGTTTACCATGAACAAATCCTTACTGAAGAAAAATGATCCCAGAAAAAAAATGGTACAAGATGAGAGAAGATACGGGCCTCTGTTCTCAGATTGATGATCCCATAACTAGGACTGGAGGTCTTCCGGCAGAATGTTCAGGAAATGCTCCAGTAGCCAGTACTCACAGGGTTCACTCTCTTGTGCACACCTCTGGCATCAGTCAACAGAATTCTGAATTAGTTCAAACCCTCTGTAGGTCTTGGGGTCCCTCCATAGCAGAACTGCCTAAAGCACTGATATAGCATCTCTATTACAACAACTGCTCCTCTGCAGGCTGCCTTCTGAGGCCATACTGCAGCCTGCTCTATCAGATTTCCTTTCTGGTCTTCAGGAGTCTGAATGGCCAAAACCCCAGCCTCCTTAAGTTCCATTATTATATAGGATTCAGAAATTTCTGGAGAGAGTTTACCCTGGTTGAAGTCTATGACTCAAGCAATTCCCCTTGATTTTTGGTGGTCACTCTGGGCACATGTGAAATTACTCACAAATTCACACCAGTTTACAGCAAGTATAAACTACAGTAAAGTGCAGCAGTGTTTTGCTTCTTTCCGCATGTAATCATTTACTGCCTTGTATCTTCCCACACCAACTGTCTATTAGCTCTTGAAATATACAAATCATGTCTCACACTTTCTTCGAGTCACTCAAGACTAGCACAGTGTTATGCACATAAGAGGTGTTGATGGATAATAAGTATTCATAGAAATGAAGTAATCATAAAAGGAAGGGATAGAGGAAGGCTTCAGATTGATGAACTGACTATATAAGGCCACACTGCAGGGAGTGGAAGATCTTGACTCCAGAATCCATGTGCATTCCAGTATACTTTGCTACTCCCTTGTCTTACCAGAGGTCTGGAGAACTTCTACATTAAGCGACACTTTCCCTTTATAACCAATATCTCTCTGGATCAGCTAGAATGAGTGAGTTCCATTGTTCAAGTAGCTCTTACAAAATTATTTGAATCTTGAGATAAGTCAAAATAATTAATATTCACTGTCTAAGGCAGAAAAAGAGATCTTTCGAGCATTCTTGCGTATGTCTTTGATCTCCTCTCTCTTACTCCACAGTAACTAAGAGAGCACTGTCGCATTTTGTTGTGTGGATTTTCTTCATTCCTAGGTATGTTGGGAAAGACTATAAGGAGCAGAAGGGGCTCTGGCACCACTTTACTGATGTAGAGCGGCAGATGACCGCACAGCACTATGTGACAGAATTTAACAAGAGACTCTACGAACAAAACATTCCCACACAGATATTCTACATCCCATCCACAATATTACTGGTAAGATTATCCTGAACACATCATTTGGATCTTCCAAATCACACTTGAATATCAATTAATCTGAGTATCTGGTTCCACATAGTCAGGCTAGCATTTTTAGCAAACTATCCTTGTGTGTTGTCCCTGTACCTTCCAAGAGAGAAAGAACCCTAAAGATTGTATCTAGTACAAACTATCTCCTCAACATGATGCATAAATCCCATTTTATGCCTGTTGGCCTCACCCCTTGCAACCAAGTGGTTACTAAGTCAAAGCTTACATATCTTCAGCAAGAAAAAAATAATCGTTCCCCTTTCACTTTCAAATAATCCTAATTGTTAGAAAGTTCTTAGACTTGGCCCAAATCTATCTTTCTCTAACTTCTGTCCATGGATTACAGCTCTCCCTCCTGGGACCATGAAGACCAGTCTCTCTTCACTAACATACCCCTTTCAATAGATAAAGGCAAATATTCCCATTGAGTTTTCTCTTCTTTGGATCAAGAATGCCTTGCTACCCTGAATATATTAGATCCTTAGTGCATTCATACTTGCAATAATTTTTTCATTGGCCAGAGACATTTTTAGACCCATCTTTTCCTAATCATAATAATTATCATCCATTTCATACCTTCTTTATGTCACTCACTGTGCCAGGCAGTTTGCAAACCTTAACTCTAACCTTTGAAACAACTCCACAAAGTAGCATAGAAACACTTAAACTGATATTTCAACCTAGAGTCCCAGAGCATGATCTAACTTCATGTCCTGGTAACCTAGCCTCCAGGAAAGGTCACCTCATGGCCTAAATCTTAAGTGAGCAGTTTAATATGTGAATAATAATAAATTTAAGTTCTATGACATACCACATGCCATGTTAAGCATTTTACATGTGTTTCCTTGCATAATCCCTTTAACAAGCCTAAAAGGTAGTTATAATTATACCACTTTACCCATGATGAAATTGAAGCTCAGAGAAGCAAAGTGGCAGAGCCTAGGTTCAAACCAAGATTTACCCAAGTCCAAAGACAATGGCCTTTACCATTATGCTGTAATGTTTCCCATTGCTATTTTTCAGATTTTAGAGGACAAGACAATAAAGGGATGTATCAGTGTGGAACCTTACATACTGGGAGAATTTGTAAAATTGTCAAATAATACGAAAGTGGTGAAAACAGAATACAAAGCCACAGAATATGGCTTGGCCTATGGCCATTTTTCTTATGAGTTTTCTAATCATAGAGATGTTGTGGTCGATTTACAAGGTATGTGAAACTGGGAATTATTTTTATTTTTGATATTATATGTAAAGTGAAGTTTTGTAACTAGCTTCCCTAATTTTAATTTAATAGATTGTTCTCTGTATAGGCTACTATTTGGAGTTAACTTAATTGATCTTACTATATATAGCAAATAATTCCTGAAAGAAAAAAATGCCCAAAACTTCTACAAATGTCTACAGTATCACATAATCAGTGAGAGGGTCTGGTTTATGTTCTGTTGGGCTTCGTACCAGAGCATATCTATAACAGCTTTTTTTGTTTCACTCAAGTAGATTTGAGTGATGTATATTTCTTATCATTGCATTTTCTTCACGTGTCGAAATCTTCTTTCCACTTTTCCTTTTCTCCAGTCCCTTACCCTTATTAAAAGTGTGATGTTGGGTTTCATAATGGGGGTCATTATAGAACAGAAATCTGTATCCTTAAGCTATGTACTTAAATAAGACTACTTTTCAATTCTACCTTAATATTTTAATTTTGTTTTAGTTTGTCTGGTATTTTATTCATTAGAATTTTTATTAGAAAATACCCTATACTTCATGTAAATTATAAGTAAGATTTATTATAATTATTTATAGTTATGGTTCCATGGACATCCCAGGACCTTCCCTATTCCACTCTCAGAGCATTTATCACTCTGTTATATATTTAACTTTTGATCTGTTCCCCTTCACAAGAATGTTAGCTCAATGAGTACAAAGATTTTTGACTACCTTGTTCAATTGGTACCACCAGTGCCTAAAATAGTGTTTTATAGAGTGTCTGCACTCAATAAATATTTGTTGAATGAACAGATGAGTATATGAATTAATAAGTCACTAAAGAAATTTCTGAATCACGAAAGAAATATTCCATATTATGATATTGATAATTATTCAAAGTGTATTTTATTGCTTTCTAATACCTTGAAAATTGGTGATCTGGGGATGTCATATTTGACAAATATAATTACCCAATTTTTAATTATTCTTAAACCAATAACTGGATATGCAATCCAAATTCTTTACCAGGAATTTACTAACTATAAACCACAGGATGGCCAAGTGTTTGAAGTATCTCTTTATTTATTTATTTATTTTTTTTTTTTTTTTTTTTGAGACGGAGTCTCGCTGTGTCGCCCAGGCTGGAGTGCAGTGGCGCGATCTCGGCTCACTGCAAGCTCCGCCTCCCGGGTTCACGCCATTCTCCCGCCTCAGCCTCCGAGTAGCTGGGACTACAGGCGCCCGCCACCACGCCCGGCTAGTTTTTTGTATTTTTAGTAGAGACGGGGTTTCACCATGTTAGCCAGGATGGTCTCTATCTCCTGACCTCGTGATCCACCCGCCTCGGCCTCCCAAAGTGCTGGGATTACAGGCTTGAGCCACCGCGCCCGGCCTGAAGTATCTCTTTAAGTGTGTGTGTGTGTGTGTGTGTGTGTGTGTGTATTTTTGTAAACATTTGATGGACATTTACAAGGAATTTAATACTCAGGTGTATTCATCTCTCTTTCAGGTTGGGTAACCGGCAATGGAAAAGGACTCATCTACCTCACAGATCCCCAGATTCACTCTGTTGATCAGAAAGATGTCACTACCAATTTTGGAAAGAGAGGAATTTTTTACTTCTTTAATAACCAGCATGTGGAATGTAATGAAATCTGCCATCGTCTTTCTTTGACTAGACCTTCAATGGAGAAACCATATAAGTCATAGGCTGTATGGATTGGTAATGTGACAGACCTTAGTTATGCTCTCAAATATCTGGTTCTCTCCTTCCAGGCACATAGAATATGGCACAGTCTGGTCCTTTGGGGCTTGGGCAGGGCTGTGACACAGGTTCTGGTCAATGATTTGTGAGAGGAATTGATCAGTATCACTTTAAGTCCTGCATTTAATCAGCAGCACGAGATCCTGCAGAGCCTCTTTCCCTCTGCCACAGTTACCAAGAATGTGTCAGGAGACTGCTGCTTCTGGGCATAAGTCCTGCAAGGAAAGCAACATGGAAAACAGCCCCAACTCACCCATAAGGGATGCAAAGCACTGCTGAGAAAGGCATGTGTTGTTTAAGCCATTGAGATGTTAGAGCTTTTTGTCACTATCTATCAAGACTGATGCTACTGGGGCTTTTCCTATTGATTTGGAAGTTCTTCACATATTAAAAAAATGTGAGCCTTTGTGATACAAATTCAATTTGTTTTTCTCTCTTTTGACATTTGACTTGCATAAAATGTTTATCTGTGCATAATTTTTTATATAGTTGAATTCATCAATCTTTTATTTTATATGGCTTTTTGGTTATGTATAATATTTAGATCTTCCTTATACTCTGAGTTTCTTTCTTTTTAATTCTCCCATATTTCCTTCTAGTATAATTAAATCTGTAAAAAGTAAGATGGAAGAGTGGTACAATTTTCCTTATCCAGTCTGTCCTTGATGGGCATATAGGTAGACTGGATAAAGAAAATATACACCATGGAACACTATGTGTATTAGTCCACTCTCATACTGCTCTGAAGAAATACCTGAGACTGGGTAATTTAGAAAGGAAAGAAGTTAAAGTAACTCACAGTTCCACATGACTGGGGAGACCTCAGGAAACTTACAATCATGGCAGAAGGCACCTCTTCATAGGGTAGCAGGATAGAGAATGAGTGCCAGCAGGGGAAATGCCAGGTACTTATAAAACCATCAGATCTTGTGAGAATTCATTCACAATCATGAGAACAGCATGGGAAAAACTGCCTCAATTACCTCCCACCAGGTCCTTCCCATGACACATGGGAATTATGGGATTACAATTCAAGATGAGATCTGGGTGGGGGCACAAAGCCAAACCATATCACCATGTAACCATAAAAAAGAACGAGATCATGTCATTTGCAGGGACATGGATAGAGCTGAAGGCCATTATTTTTAGCAAACTAATGCAAGAACAGAAAACTAAATATCACTTGTTCTCACTTACAGGTGGGAGCTAAGTGATGAGAGCAGGTGGACACATAGAGGGAACAACACACACCAGGGCTTATCAGAGGGTGGAGGGTGGGAGGAGGGAGAGGATCAGGAAAAATAACTAATGCGTACTAGGCTTAATACCTGGGTGATGAAGTAATTCGCACAACAAACCCCCATGACACAAACCTGCACATGTACCGCTGAACTTAAAATAAAAGTAAAAAAGAAAACAACAATATCATTGAATGTTGTGAACTTTATGAATATACCAAAACCATTGGACTAGACACTCAAAGGGTGAATTTTATGGTAGGTAAGTTATATCTCAATAAAGCTTTTTTTTAAAAAAAGAATATTCTTCAAAAAAAAAAAAATGATACATTTTCCTGGCTACCATAGTTCATCCCTTTCCCGACACAGATCTACTTCTTCACACAGGTTTAGGAAAGAGCTCCTCCGTGATCTTACTGAAAGAAACAAAAGGGCGACCAGTGAGATAAAACAATTCTTTTCTGCAGTTACTCTTGGGGGCTGCAACTGATGCTCACTCTCCCTGTCCTCCACTGTTCATTCTAAGTTTCCCTCAGCCTTAACTATTAGCTCAGGAGGTCTGGGCGGCTTACCTGATTGGTGAGACTCAAACTTGCATACATGATCTTCATGTATCAAGTCTGAACACTTGATAGTTTATACTCTTCTCAATTTGAGGTTGCTGCACATGTCTCTTCACAGTTGCAATTGAGGCAAGAAGACCCATTCCAGTCTCCTGCTGTGGGGATCACAGTTGATTGACACTCCCAGCTTCCACTCCTTTGAAACCATCACTGTGTTTATGCTGAAACCATGTTGCCCTCAATGTGCTGTCAGCCAGTGACTAAGCATGACAAGGACACTAGTCTCAGAATATTTCTAACTGCTGACTGTGACTGTGGAACAAAGTCTTGCCACTGGCCTAACCAAAACTTTCTTAAGGCCGGGCGTGGTGGCTCAGGCCTGTAATCCCAGCACTTTGGGAGGCCGAGACAGGTGGATCACGTGAGGTCAAGAGTTCAAGACCAGCTTGGCCAACATGGTGAAACCCCACCTCTACTAAAAATACAAAAAAAAAAAAAAAATGCTGGTCATGGCTAATTTTCCAGGAGGCAGAGCTTGCAGTGAGCTGAGATCGCATCACTACACTCCAGCCTGGGTGACAGAGCAAGACTCCATCTCCAAAAACAAAAACAAACAAAAAACCCTTTGCTCTCTCCTTTTATAGGTGTCAGGACCACAGCATGGTCCCCTGCCTACTCTTGTTCCCTCCAACTGATCCTTTACAGTCATTTCTCCCAATAGAGGTCTTTCATGTTTAATCCTTTCCTGGTATCTGCTTCTTGGAAAACCAAAGTTAACACATGCTTATTAAGGAAATGAAAAAAAATGTAATCTATCCTACTAACAAAGTAAAGGGAGAAAATCATGTAATTTCACAAGATGCAGAAAATTATTTCATAAAATTCAAAATCAACTCACGGTAAAAGAAAAAAACAAGCTCTTTGAAAACTAGAAATAAAGAAAAGTTTTCTAAATCTGACAAAGGTTTTTTCTTTTAAACTTAAATCAGCAATACCATAATTAATAGTGAAGCAATTAAAACTTTTAAGTTGAGAAAAGGAACAAGACAAATTTGCCTACTATCCCAATTCTATTCAATGTCATAGAAGTCCAACTAATAAACGCAGAAAGACTAAAACTAGAAAATCATGATTTTGCATCCATTAATGAAATAATGGATCTGGGCAGAAAGCATTGATGGCTGCTAAAACTATTAGGGGAAAATTAGATGGGGAACTTTATAACGGAAGAATCAGGCTGATGCTACTCACACTTCAATCAATCTGATCACTAAAAGTGGGATAACAAATCAGTGATAAAATGACATTTTTGAGTCAATTGGGGATTTTGAATATGGACTGAGTGTTAGGCAAAACGATGAAGTGATATCTTAAGAACATTCAACCAAAAGAAAAATTTGGAAAAAGATATGAAAGCAGCTTGACTCTTTGGGGTTAATGTTGAAGGGAGATGGTTACATAGCAATTCATTGTACCAGTCTTTCTACTTTTCTATATATTTTTAAATCTCCACAAAAAAAAAAAAAAAATTCTTAAATGTAATGTCATAGAAAGGAAGAAATACCAAGAAAAGTTTGAAGAATCAATAGATAAAGAAGATGAAAACCAAGATTGGTATCAAACAAACTAATCAGGAAAGAATATAAGGAGGAGCATTCAGCAGTGTGAAATCCAGCAGAAAAAAATCAAGAAAAAAAACAATTTTGGGGGTGAAAGACAGAACAGTGAAAAAAGATTGCTGACAGCAAAAAGAGGCTGTTAATTGACAGAGTGACCTTTGAGATGTTGTAGAAGGGGGTCAACAAACTATGATACATGAGGTCAAAGCTGCTGACATCTGTTTTTGTAAATAAAATTTTATTGGAACATAGTCACTTATTCAATTATGTTCTACCTACAGCTGCTTTTGTGTTACAATAGCAGAACTGAGTAACATTGTGACATAGACAGGATTTTGCAAAGTTAAAAATATTTACTATATGGACCTTTACAGAAAAAGTTTGTGAATCCCGGTTTGTGGAAGACGAAATTGGGAATAAAGTTCAGGATATTTACATTTAGAAAGAAATATGGTTATTTCTACCGACACAGAAGAAAAGGAAGAGCAACAATGGGTGAAAAAACTGGAAATTGGAGGTGATAAAGAAGTAAATTGATGGAAAGCACCTCAGAGCCCACTTTTCTTTGTTAAGTCAAAAAGCTAGGATATCTGCTAAGTGAGATGGCATTGGCATAACTAGGAATTTTAGAGAAATAAAGATTTTGTAGCAATGTATATCTCTGAGTTATAAAAAGCAGAAATAGTACTATTGAGAGGAATTTGCAAGAAATTACATTTTTTAAATATCTTTAAATTTTTATTTATGTCATCACCCATATACCCAACACCCGATTGAAGAAATTAAATGTAATACTGTTTTTAAAGCCTCCATCTCTGATCTCTACTTCCTCCTCTATCCAAGAGAAAATTACTGTCCAGAAATTGTTGGTTATCATTCCCCTTACTATTGTTGCACATTCACTTTTATTTAATGTTGTTATACATTCATATATTGCATAAAAGTAACAATAAATATCCAGTATTCTTTTAAAATGTTCAAAGCTTTGTATAAACATTTTTAAAGGCCAGATTAGTTTTTAAAAAGTCAAATTGATTTTCTAGAAAAGGAAAAATACAGTAATTGACTATATAACTTACTAGAAAGGTTAAACAGCAGATTAGACATAGTTCAAGAAAGAACTATTAAAATGGAAAGAGAGATGAAGGAATTAGCTAAAATGCAGCAGAAAGATAAAAGGACAGAAAATACAAATGAGTGATTAAGAGATGAAGAGAAAAGAAGGTCCAACATCATCTAGTGGGGGTTTTACAGGGAGAAAGAGTACAAAGAAGATGGAATCCTCTGAGTCAAGCAAAGAATATGAATCAAGGAGGGAATGATCAACTATGTCAGATGCCACTGACAGATAAGTCAGATGAAAACTGTGAACTAAATTTTTGAATTTAGCAATGTGGAGTTCACTGGTGACCTTAATATTAGCAGATAAGTTGAGTGCTGCAGCTGAAAGCCTGAATAGAAAAGAGTATTAGTTTTCTATTGCTGCATATCTCAAACTTAGCAGCTTCAACCAACATACATTTTATTATCTCACAGTTTCTGTGCATCAGGAGTCCGGGCACAGCTTAGCTGATCCTCAGCTCAGAGTCTCACAGGCTGCAATCAAGGTGTTGGTTAAACTATGTTCTCATCTGGAGGCTTGACAAGAGAAGACTAAACTTTCAAGTTCATCAGGTTGTTGGAGAGTTCATCTAAATAGAAAAAATATATAGAGAGAGAGCATATTGAAATACTGATAGTGTTTTTCCCTAGTAAACTTATTACAGTGGATTTCATTTTCTTCTTTATCATTTGTTTCCAAAATTTTCTGCAATAAGCTTGTATTACTTATCTCAAAAAATAATATTTAACAAGAAATTCAAATGATTCTCTTTTCCAATAAAAGTCCACATTATTAGATGAGCATGTACAGCCTTCTTCCTTAGCCCATCAATACTCCTAGTCTTGCAATTTACACTCTAGAAACACTGAACTACTTATAGTTTCAGTTTATAGTTCATCC